TGGCAGCCCGCAGCGATTCAGAGCCTCCGTGGAAGCCTGGAGGCCGTGCAGGCTGGCAGCCCGCAGTGATTCAGAGCCTTGAGGCCGTGCTGGCTGGCAGCCCGAGTCTGTGTGGGCTGGCAGCCCGCAGCGACTCAGAGCCTTTGTGCAAGGTTTGGGGCCTGCCATGCTGGCCGGCAGCCTCAGAACCTTTGCGGAAGCCTTGAGGCCGTGCGGGCTGGCAGCCCGCAGCGACTCAGAGCCTGTGGGGAAGCCTTGAGGCCGTCAGTGCCTTTGTGGAAGCTTTGAGGCGGTGCGGGCTGGCAGCCCGCAGCGACTAATAAATAAAAGCACTTTCTGAGCATCCATTGGGGGGGCCGTTTAATATGTTGGGGGAAAGGTTTATCCGATATGTAAACCGGAAATTGAAACCCTAATTCAGAACAGGTTTTAAAGGGCAGGGATGATTTCGGGAGGATTGGACCCAATGTGTTTTTATTATTAAGGGGGTGTTCAATATAGAAGGGGGAAGCGATTAAGGCTACAGCGCCGAGCTTGACTGGCCCATCCCTAGCACTCAAGCCTTTCAGCACTTGTCCTCATGTGCTGTCATCAAGGTACTCTCCTCTTCGGTTATCTGCAGTGGCACGCCTTACCAATTAAACTGCATGTAAGAGAACTGCAGAAACAATGATTGATTCGAATAAACAACTCAGTCAGAAGCCCAAATCAGATTCCCCCACTGCCTTTCGGTTCTGTGGTAGGGCGCTGCCACAGAGTCTCGACCTCCGGATAGCAGGAGCTTTCTGGGGCGTGCTTTTTCGTTGCCATTTTTCAATTTGCTGAAATAAAGTTACGTATGCCGGCTCCGCTGAGAGTTTGGGATGTCATGGCCTTTGGGAACTGTTCTTTGCGGTTGCTTTTTCGATTCCGGGGGTAGAGGATGTGGGCTCATGGTTTGGTTTGGAATCCGACAATAGATCTCCCAGGCCGTGGGACCTGTACTGTACAGGGCTTGGTGGTGATGCTTGGGGCTTCGGCCCTAATATCAAGTTGGACAAGTCCAGCCTGAGTCCCAAGCCAAGCTAAGATGTGAGTGATTCCGTCAGTACGGCGATGCTTGTCTGCGGCTGCTAGGATCAACGTAGGTGCCTAAATATTTTGAGCAGGAATCCAGTTCGATGCGACTGCAATTCTTTGGTGTGAATAGTTTGACTTCTGATAGCAAGCCCCTTCAGCTATATAGGGTCTAAGCGCGAAGCCATCTACGAGTGCTGCTCCCGTTTCAGTTTTTGCCTAGAGCATCCCCTTGTGCCTCGAGGCCGAAACCCTAGCCTCCTTTCATGGCACTATTCAAGTGACGAGTTTCTCTTTCGGTCGCGGCCAGACGTTGTCAGCTTAGTGCTTGGTAGTTGCAAGTTGCAATCTAAGGATCATGCCTCACCCTCCACGCGGGCATACTTCGGTCGCAAATCCTCGCTCTGAGCAGCAGGGAGCGGCAAAGCTACTCGCAGGAAGATCAGCGCACTATCATGTCATGCTCCTTGTCCTGATACTAACCGTTCTGTGGTCTTGTTGTTTTGAACAGAACCGGTGTCTGTGTTAACATGATTCGGGTATCCTCATCGTCATCAACATGAGTATCACCAGCAACAGCAGCAGCAGCATCATCATCACCGTATCATCACCGGCCGTATCATCGTCATCATCATCACCATCATCATCATCATCATCGTCGCCGTCGTCAGCAGGAACAGGATCTGGGTTTAGGGCTCCAGCGTCACCAATACACAGTGTCCGTACTCCTCCGACTGCTCAGGTACTCGATCATTCTAAGGCTTCCAGAAGGAAGTCGAGCAAGTTCGGAAATCAGAATCCAACTCATGGATGGCTGCCCTGCCAACCAAGCTTCAGAAACGATCGACGAGAACAAGATTAAGCTCGCAAGAACCCCATGCTGTGGATCAGGTCTGCGGTTGACTTAGACATGCTTCGAAAATTGGAGGCCAGGGTGTTGGGGAATAGACTCGGGCTTCGTGCTCGAGGGACGAAATCTTCAGACTCTTTGTCGCAGACGCTGCTTCGGTCCTACGGTACAATAATCTGCACGGCAGGCGGTGACTACATTGCTTTTCAGCGTGATGACTGTCGGTTGGGGGCTCGAAATTCCAGGGATCAGCGCAGCCGGTGCCATCTGAAATCCTTACAGCACCACTCGGTTGCACTGGATTCATTATAGACGCGTGCCGTGGCATCGAAAAATATCGAAAACCTCGACTTGACATTCTATAGAACTGCGTCTGTAACATCTTCAGGACAGTCGTCTTTTAAAAACCAGATTGACACCGGTGGGCGCAGAACATGTAATTTGAACTAACTAGAATAGCTCGCAGCTGCCCCATGATCAGGATTCCAACGGATATTCTTTCCGATTCTGTCTTGCCGAACCTAACCTTATCTCCTTGTGCCGCCACATGGAATACGAACCGTCAATGCTTACTGAGCATGTGCTTTCTACTGGAGATTCAGGCCGCTGACTCGATGCCTTCAACTTAATCCCCTCCCCGAATCCCTCGTTCCAAGTCTGTGTGCATCGGGTTTCGAGTTGACGAACACTGGCCTCGTCGGCTGAGCACAGCAAAGCGCTCGCTAGGGCAAACAGCCTGTGTGTCCCAGAACAGGCTGCAATGTTTTTACACATGCAAGGTGTTGCGTAAACCGCTGTCTCCCTGCAATAACAAAAGCGCATGGTTTTTGTAAACCCTTGATGTCTTCCCAAAAACGAACTGTAAGGTCGTTTTTGCAAACCCTTGTTCTTCTCCACATCCAGAAACGTAAGTTTCTTTTGTAAACCCCGTGTCCTCCGCCAACATTAAAAACGTAAGCTTTTGTTTGTAAACCTATGTTCTCCCTATCCTTGTTGTATGTGCTACATTATGAACAGATTTCCTACTGTGACACGGTTTGCTATGATGTTGATGGTACCTTTTGTTCACGATTACCGTTGTTCACATTGCTTCCTTGTGCTAGATTTGCTTGTGACTTATTACTGGTGTATTCACAATTGACATCAATGATGTGAGGATAACTGCTAACTACTGATCGTATGGGTTGCAGTTGTTCTGATCGTATGGATTGCAGTTGTTGCTGCTGCTGTCGTGACTGAAAGACAAAGTCAATGAGGGTGGACATTGCCTGGAGTTCACAACCCTATCTTCTTCGTCATGACACCCCTTCCCTTTCATTCAGTCGGTATGTTCTACCTCCTATCATCCCTCCAAAAAACAGCTCAGCCCTCCATCTTCAAGGTTTCTTGTATCATCTTCATCGTCAACGTCTGCATAACCTCCATCATATGGCTGCGAGATGATTGTCATTCTTGTTGTGGATGTTGGTGTTGATGTTGTTGAAAAGTAAAGCTCGACTGACATTAAGACATAGTGTATGAAGTCTACAGCAGCAGAAAAGGGTGTACTTCTTGCGATTGACGGTTTCAAGAGCATGAACAGCAAAAGAGAGGAGGGGCGCACTGCTTGCGATTGATGATTATCAGGCCCCCTCCCATTCCTTTGATCTTGATGACCTACCTCCCCATCCTCCCCCTAACAAAGCTAACCTGTCAATCTTCGAACCTGACCCCCTCGCACTCATCTTTACCATCTTCATCAATTGTTTCTACGGTTGTTGCTGTTGGTATTGGTGTCGGTGTTGATGTTGTTGACCCCTGGGCTTACCAAGGGACTTGGAGTTGCTGTTAGGGCTGAAAAGGCTGCAAACGTACATGCGCCAAAGAAAACAACTGGACGTAGTATAACTGTTGCTGGCTGGTGATACCATTATGATCAGCATATTTGCCCATATACTGCTTGTCGTGATACTGCTGGTCACTGCTGGTTCATGTCTACGGTTGTTCAGTGTGCTCACTAATGTCTTCATCTATGTATGACTCAAAGAGGGCGTATTGCACGTATGACTTGATTCAGTATTATTACGAACACTGTGAGGATGATGGCTGCTAATTGTATTGATTTCAGGTTTTGTTGTTGTTCCTGATATTGTTGATGTTGTCGCTACTGTTGTCGTTTGCTGCTGTTGATGGTCAGGGCTTGTAAACCGGCTGGGGGGGGGGAGTTTGGAGTTGATGCTACAGTTGGAAGATTGGAAGTGTACTCAGTGTACCCACGCTAAAGGAACGACAAACACCAGCTCAAAGGAACGACAACGACCGACAGACACAGAAACATAGAATATGTACAGCTTCTAATACGAATATTGCAAACAACACATACAACAAGCGACGCTAGACAACACCCCATAACCACTTAAGCAAAGTAATCTTTCACATACGGACACAACATCAACAGCAGCATCCAAGAATACTATGTATGACCATAATTATGGCCATGAGTACATACTGTACCCGCCCGCTTGCTTGTGATTCAATCAATGCTTGTTGTTGCTAACCATCCATTCCCGGTTACATGAAAGGCAACGAACTGGATATCCTTTAAGATTTTTCACACCTCAAGTATGGATACCGTTCACCAGGCCAAGCTTCTGAAAGACATGGAAATTCTATATTAAACAATATATATCACTTCGGTCCAAACTTTTTGGGTGTCGGTTTGTGCAATGTACCACTTAGCCATATACTATTTAGCTAGGCATCTGATATTGCATATATCAAAACCTAGTTCAATATACCCTAAAGGTATCGGGCTCATGTAAATAAAAAATATATACATATATATCTATATGTGCCCGATACCTTTAGAGTCTATTTAGCTAGCTGATAAAAATACACAATATCAAAGGCTTAGCTAAATGCTATATCGCGACATGCCGCGTAACAACATATAGCAGGCGAAAAGTTTCAGACCTGTTATGGTAATTTGTTCATATATGTATATATCATATGTATATATACATACATATTTTATATGTGTACATATATATATATATATGATATATCCGCTACTTCTCTTAAACACAGGTTGCGATCCATGGAACCAAAAATAATCCTACAAAGTCTTGGCAATAGTTTCGCGGCTGGAAATCCTGTTGAGCACGACCTACGACCCATAAAACCAAAATAACCCTACGATGTACTCACCAAGAATCCCATGAAACACGTGTTAGAATCCATAAACCCAATAATCCTGCACCATACGTATTGACTATACCCTTGCTGTTAAGAATCCTTTAAAAAACAAGCTATAGTCGGCAAGACTTCGATAATGCTAGTAAGCCTCTGTCACTGTTACTGCTAAGTATACCGCCTCTGGCTTCTGTAATACTGCTCCAAGCAAAATAAGTCAACAACTCATACAAACACCCATAATCATGTTAAGTATTGCCCGTAGCCCTGTGCTCAATCATAATAAACCTGGCCTGCAACTATAAAAGCAACAATAATCATGCTAAGTATTGCCTACATCCCTGTTGCTACTATTACCCTGAAACCTTGCCTAGAACCCCTGAAAGCTAAAATAATAACACTAAGTATTACCTATAACCAGGGCACACACATATACATTTTCAAACATATGTACACATACGCATACATATACATATACAGTCATATACATGTATATATAGAGAGACACACACACACACACGTGCAGATATATACATCCACCCAAAGAAGATGACCGGTTCATTTTCAAGAGCGTGCGGGTGCGTATCGGTGCAACGTCTGCAGCGTTGGGAAATTGAGTCTTTTGACCAATTTCGAGTATTCACACAGAGCGGTTTGGCGAGTCAGTGATATTCTCTTTGGCATTCGTACTTTCTTACGTTCAGCTTTACAACTATGGTAAAAGCCCACCTTTGCGCCTGGTCCCATGCGCACGTCATGCGGTCGCTTTTTGGAGTTCAAACCTTGGCAAAGAAACTTCATACCGCAAATGTCCAGGGCAGCTTGTCGAGCAGAAAAATGTTCATCTTTGCAGCCATTGCAATGGTATGTCATCCGAGAAGCTATATAATCTTCCAGATCATCGAAACAGCGAAAAGTTGCGTGGTGGCAAATATCGGACGCTACTTTGAAAACACTCCTCAGGTTGGCTGTGGTAATACCAGTTTGTCTGTAGACCTTCGAACGTTTGAAGCACGACAACTGTTTCATGAATGCCCCAGCAGTCGAAGCCTTTGCCAGAGCTGCTGCCAGACCACGTGGGGATTGCGAGTATCTCACACCAATAGCTATTGCTATACGCCAAGACTTCGTTGTAGAGCGCCTCATCGCACAGTAAATTTCCAGAGATACAGCGTCCTCATAACGGTCAGGATGACCAAAGCGGGTGCCACACATCACCTGGACAATGTCACTTATGTTGGGAATAGAAGACAATGATGTCAAGCGTGAATTTCGCAACCATGGCTGCTTACGCTTGCTTTCTCGACCTTGATGTAGATTCCGAAGAAGAAGCTCGAAGTCTGAGATCTTGAGCTGCAGCGATTTCCACGACTTATAATTCTGCTGTTGGGGTCAAAACCTGCCATTGCTTGTATTCGCACGTCGCTTTGTGTCTCCTGCTCCAGACAATCCACCGCGTTTACCGCTTGCCACAATAGCTCCCAATCCACACTTCTTGCACAATCCGCGATACGATATGAAACCAGATTTCTGATTGCAACGTCTGCATGTGGAAAGGCGCTTCCGAGCCATGGCCACTTAAACGATTCGACGTGTGCAGTTTCAACATGGGGCGGGTCTTGCGATTTCTGGTTTGCTCAATATCCGAAAGTTCTAGGGGCTATTTATGATATCAAGAGCTCCAGAGTTGGAGCGCATAGATCTCGCAAGCCAGGCTAGTGGGTAGATGTGTTTTAGATGGCCATGCCTTTGCGGATCCCTGTAAAAGTATACTTCTTACTATATGGGAGACAAAAGGCGCACGCAAACTGGAATAACCATTACATCTGAAATGCCATGCAACAAAGAAGCCGCCGGAACAACACTCGCATCCGAAATACCAAACAATACAAATACCACCGAACACAGTACCACGTTACATATATGCATGCAGCATCTCAACTCTCACCCTCTGTCTCTCTCTCTCTCTCTTTGTTTTTTGTTGTTTCTCTCTCTCTATCTCTATCTTTTTCTTGGATTTGTTTATTCTTTTAAGTGCATACGTACATACACACACACACACACATACATACATACATACATACATACATACATACATACATACATACATACATGTGTATGTATATATAGACACATAGATGTATGTAGCTATTTATTTGTTGAGTTGAATTGAAGTGTGCTGATATGAACTGCATTGAATTGTTTTGCATTGTGTTGTTGATGTTGATGATGATGATGATGATGATGAAGGAGACGATGAGGAGGGGGATGAGGATGAGGATGATGAGCATGATGATGACAACGATGAAAAACATGGGGATTGTGCAGATAGCCGGGCGGCTGAACTTGTACATATTATAATTTGTGCTAAAAAGGGGGTCTGTCAGGAAGACTGTCCAAGTATATCATTATAAGAGTATATTCTGCTGTATAGCATTCAGCTAAGCTTGTTGTATTGTAGATATAAATGCATGGTTTGTAGAAATTCACATCACAAAATCGGAGATCTCAAGGGATATCCCCTAAAGGATTTTGTAAGACATGCATTGCAACATCATAATTCGCAAGAAGTATGTCCCCAAGGTTTGCTTGTAAATTCAGACCCTTGCTATGTATGATTTTGGGCTTTGATTTTTTGAAAAAGACTTTGGGGGACACCTCTTGCGATTTGTGTTATGAAAATGTGATCCCCAAAATTCAACATCGCAAGGGGTTTCCCTCTAAGTTTTTCTATAAACATATGACCCTTAAATTTGGAAATCGAAAGGGGTATCACAAGTTTTTTATCAACAGGTGATCCCAAAATTCAAAATCGCAAGGGGTGTCCCCCTAAGTGTTTCTATAAACATATGACCCCTGAAATTGGAAATGGCAAGGGGTGTCCGCCTAAGTTTTTCATCAACATATGATCCCAAAATTCAAAATCGCAAGGGTGTGCCCCTAAGTTTTTCTATAAACGTATGACCCTTACAAATTGGGAATCGCAAGCGGTGTCCCTCAAAGTTTTTTTGTACGAAGATGTGGCCCCAAAAATCAAAATCGCAAGGGGTGTCCCCCTAAGTTTTTCTATAAACATATGACTCATATGACCCTTAAAATTGGAAATCGCAAGGGGTGCCCCCCTAAGTTTTTCATCAACATATGATCCCAAAATCGCAAGGGGTGTCCCCCTAAGTTTTTTCCTCAACAGATGATCCCAAAATTGGAAATCGCAAGGGGTGTCCCCCTAAGTTTTTCATCAACATATGATCCCAAAATTCAAAATCGCAAGGGGTGTCCCCCAAAGTTTTTCTATAAACATATGACCCTTAAAATTGGAAATCGCAAGGGGTGTCCCCCTAAGCTTTTCATCAACATATGATCCCACAATTCAAAATCGCAAGGGGTGTCTCCCTAAGTTTTTTACAAAAAAGTCGATCCCAAGCTTCAAAATCGCAAGGGGTGTCCCCCTAAGTTTTTACAAGAATTGGATCCCCAAATTCAAAATCGCACGGGGTGTCCCCCTTAAGTTTCTCATCAACATATCATCCCAAAATTCAACATCGCAAGGGGTGTCCCCCTAAGTTTTTCCATAAACATATGACCCTTAAAATTGGAAATCGCAAGGGGTGTCCCCCAAAGTTTTTCATCAACATATGATCCCAAAATTCAAAATCGCAAGGGGTGTCCCCCTAAGTTTTTTCTCAACAGATGATCCCAAAATTGGAAATCGCAAGGGGTGCCCCCCTAAGTTTTTACAAGAAGTGGATCCCCAAATTCAAAATCGCAAGGGGTGTCCCCCTAAGTTTTTCATCAACATATGATCCCAAAATTCAAAATCGCAAGGGGTGTCCCCCTTAGTTTTTCTGTAAACAGATGACCCTTACAAGTTGGAAATCGCAAGGGGTGTCCCCCTAAGTTTTTCATCAACATATGATCCCAAAATTCAAAATCGCAAGGGGGGTCTCCCTAAGTTGTTTACAAAAAGTGGATCCCAAGCTTCAAAATCGCAAGGGGTGTCCCCCTAAGTTTTTTTTTACACATATGATCCCAAAATTCAACATCGCAAGGGTTGTTCCCCTAAGTTTATTTCTTTTAAGTTGGGGGGGTTGCGGGTGGGGGAGGGGGACATGTGGGGGTGTGGGGGGTGTTGGGGGGTGTGGGGTGTGGGGGGGTTAGGCAGGGGGGTGTGGAGGAGGGAGGGAGGAAGGTTTCAAATAATTGAAATAATTAAAATAATTTAAATCACCGTCATTTAATTATTTCAATTATTTTAATTCGTGGGGCCACGAAATAATTAAAAAATAAAATAATTAAATCACTGTGATTTTAATTATTATAATAATTTCATTTTTTTCAATTATTTCAATTATTTAAAATGCCCTGGACTGGACCACACTATATTTCTAATGCTTTTAATTATTTTAATTATTTCAATTCGCGGGGCCACGAAATAATTAAATAATTTAATCACGGGGATTTAAATTATCTTAATTATTTCAATTATTTCAATTATTTAAAATGCCCTGGACTGGACCACACTCTATTTCCAATTATTTTAATTGTTTTAACTATTTCACTTCGCGGGGCGACGAAATAATTAAAGTAAATCGTGATTCCCTCTCCGGAGCCCAGACCCACTGATTTTAAATAATTGAAATAATTGAAATAATTAAAAAATGCCTCAAGATTTAAGTATTTTAATTATTTCAATTCGCGGGGCCACGAATTAATTAAAATAATTAATATAATTAAATCACAGGGATTTAAATTATTTAAATTATTTGAATTATTTCAATTAGTTAAAATGCCCTGGACTGGACCACATTATTTTAATTATTTTAATTATTTCAATTCGCGGGGCCACGAAATAATTAAAATAATAAAAATAAGTAAAATAAATCGTGATTCCCTCACTGGAGGCCAAACCCACTGATTTTAAATAATTGAAATAATCGAAATAATTGAAATAATTAAGATAATAAAATACCCCGGGATTTAATTATTTTAACTATTTCAATTCGCGGGGCCACTAAATAATTGAAATAATTAAAATAATTAAATCACGGGGGTTTAAATTATGTTAATTGTTTCAATTCGTGGGGCCACGAAATAATTCAAATAATTAGAATAATTAAATATAGGGTTCAAAGAGAGCGTCAAATAGACCCTAAAGGAGCCTCTCTCTCTCATATATATATATATATATAAATACATATATATATATATATGTATATTTTTGTCTGTATATCTGACCCTAAACCCTACACCCCTAGACCGGTATACAGGGACGACACAAGAAAAATGTTGCCAGCTGCTGAAGCACCAGTAGCAAACCTTGAAAGCCATCGTATCAAACAGGCTAGCATAAGGCCTTTGAAAGAAAAAGAGTGTCTCGCGCTCTGTAAGCCCCAGACCACCTTGAGTTTGCCATGCACAGGCTTGCGATGCAGGATCTCTAGAAATTAAGCGCGCCCTTCATGCCCTACTTAAGGGCCCCAAGCCTACATATCAGTGGCAATCCTTCCGCATCTGGAGTGTCAACTGGCTATTTTGCAATGATGTCTTCCCCTTCCCAGTCTGCTTCAACTTTGCAGCACTGCATTAGAGGTGACGCAGACTCTCCTTGCAGACACCCCGACCCACAAACCGCCAAATCTGCCCTTCAAACCCCAGCTTCGTCTGAAACCCGAACCTGTCAATTCTGACAAAGCTATGGCCGGAACTCCCAGCTCCAAACCTTGAGTACTACGCCAAGACCCCAACCCAACATTGTAGCCCGGGCCTCAGCATTCTGCAGCGGCAGCTTGGCGACCCCGCGAACTTATCAAGAATCGAAATTATGATTATGGCCTTCAGCCTTGTGGCGTTGAGGATCGTATGGGTTTTGTAGGCTGTGCCATGTACATCGACATGCTGGTTAGCTATTGGGCGCAGGACATGGTGTGTGAGCAAGTGCATATGGCAGCGGTGTCAGGATTGAATACGGCAAAATCTCAGCGTTCTGCGTCGCCAGCTCAGATGTGTGAACTGAGTTGCTCGAGCCACCAGCCATCAGGCGAATCACTAACGCCAAGGCCGAAGGGAGGGAGCGGTGTTCGAGGCTTCGGGTTGTAAGCACATTTATCTACACTCCTCGCACTTCGTCAGGGTTGCGCTCGGGTTACGAGGCACCTCACCAGGTCTAGGAGTCTAGGGTTCAGCGTTTCCATCGATGCGGCTTTGGATGATTCTGGCCTGGGTTTGCTGAGGGATGCTGTCAGCGCTACCATGCCGCACTATGCGCATTGCACACTCTCTTCTAGCCTTGAGGTGTCTGTCAAAGGCAAACGAAGATTGCTCAAAACTGGATTTCATCTCAGGGGCCTGGGTAAAGGAAACGACCTTTAGCATCCCGAAAGACCACAATCTTCAACCCTGGCACTGCAGCAGTCGACCACAAATTGTTTCTCTACCCGAGCAAGAGATGGTGGCCTCGTTTAACGCACGGCCCGGTAAATCTTGACACTGGTGTAGGGCTTTTTCGGTTCAATCTTTCTGTTCTTCTTGCACCGTCCGGTAAATTTCCTCTTGCTATGACCCTTGCTTCCTGAAGCCCTAAACCGCCACTTCTGCAGCTCCTCCGAGATGGCCTCTCAAGTGCCCTCCGTCCAGAGATGCTTCCAGGGATCTGTAAGCAACCTGCGCTGCAGCTTCGCAGGCACCCTCAGGCCAATGCTGCCACTCTGATGGAAATTAGAGTTGAGCACGAACTTTGATTCATACCTGTGCAAGATGAGAATCTGACTGCGACGAGAAGAAACGTAAAGACGAGCACTCCAGCACTCCAACACCAAATTATCCGCGGAAACGACCGCTTCAAACATCAAACCAAACACAACATAATCCACTCATTTCTCCACCATTCCTTACCTAGAATTCCAGCGCCAGGGCGCGCTCCGTGGCGGGCTCTCCCTGTCTTGACGAAGGTGCTTCGGGGACCACTAGGGTTACCCAGTCAAGACCGTGACAGCAAGAATGTGTTTTGGGTCCATAGCTGATGCAACTGAACCCCGCCGGCATAAGACAATCCTCCTGTGCAAAGAGATTCGAAAAGAGTCATGTATGTACTGCTCCTGCCTCAACGACCCCTTCGCATCTTCTTCCTGCCGCCTTGCCATGCCATGGGGGGCGGGGGCGGGGTGATGCACATGTTCAGACATTTAGGTTTGGCAACAGTTGCGAGTGAAAGTTTGGAATGTAGGATGCCGCCGGCTACGAGCGAATAATTCAGAATCCAACTCACAACCAGGATCATGTGAAGCTCTGGCTTGTAATTCTTGAAGTTGTTGTATGTCGCAACCAGAAGCACTGAGTGAACCTCAACCCTTCATTGGCCCCTGAAGCGCTTCAGCGAGGACCGATGTCTATCATTGTTGTTCGGAGAGAAACACCTGTCGGTGCCTGCGGCTTTGGATTTGCGGCCCAAGATACAGATGGAGGTTGCGGAAGGTGAAGTGAAGCCTCTTTTAACGATGAAGGAGTCCTGGACTCTTTTACGGATGCAATCGCTCTGTTGTGACAAAAACTCGTTGATAACTCTCAAAGTCAACGCCGAAAGCCCAATGCAACCCATGGCCCCAACGCCGAAACCTGACAACAAAAAAAACGTGCTTCCTGACCGCTCGAGGGCCCTTACCTGCGATGTTCCGCAAACTTCAGATGCTAATTGCCGTGCCCATGAAGCAATGAACAATCTGGAACCTCTCCCAATTTCAGGTCCTAGTACCTCCAATCTAGACTCATGCATTCGGAACATCACTTGGCGGGGAACTCGAATGCTCAAGTGTAGAAACCGGGCAAAAATCTAGACCCGGCGCGTCGATCTAAAAATCATGTCTATGACCCTGACGCCGAATGCAGAGCCCCAAACGCTGGATTGCAATTCGATTTTGCTCACTTTGCAGTTGGCTGTTCAGACGAGCCGTGCCTGCATACAGATTCATCCTCAGGAGGACGCTCGGTCTCCGAAACTAAAGAGGTTGGAGGGTTCACGGATGTAATAGCGCCATTACAGTCCGTTAACGAAGAGATCACATTCATGGATCTAGAAAGCATTCGCACCGCCCATTCTGGGCTCGGTGTGACAGTTAATATCTTAAAACCCTGGACCCTTGAGATCCTAAATGATAAAATCCCACCCAGCGCCACAGACTCTAACAAAGATCCCGCTGAGGAGGGCTCTGCGCAATGGGCAACTGGGAAATCTGATGGTCAGCCGTCCTAGTGCCCCGACGCGGTACCCCGTGAAAGCACTTTCGGGCACGATGCTGGGAAGAGTTTCGAGAAGTTCCGGACTTGGCAGCTGACAGGTGATGCTCTGCGACATGAGGACTCACGGTTTGCTTTGGCAGCTACTTCTGGATAATGGGCGACGAGTTCTTGTTGCCCTTTCCAGTAGACAGTCACAAGAAACTCCGTCCTCGCCCACCATCGACATTATCAGGGTAAGTGTCAAAGAACCGATATTTGCATACATCGGGGCTTCGCATTAAGGGTCATGAGTTCCTGCCTGCTAACGCCTACCCACCTAAACCCGAACTCTGCACAAAACACACACCTGAAGTCGGGGTGCAACGGGCAATAGACCGAGTCGACCCGGTGTCACATAAGCGATTATGCCGGAGCTCCAGCGGTACAGGGCACCATGAGCCATTCGTCTAAGCACCCGCCAAGATTCGGGTCAAGGCTCTCTTCGCCCTAGAGATCCGGAGGTGCAAATCGATATCAATACTTCTCGGAGTCCTTCGGCTTGAGCCTACCTGTACTTGCCTTTTGCTGATTAATAAGGTGTTAAGAAACATGTTTGAGGTTCGGCGTCTCTGTTGTTCGGTGGGATGGTGGGGGACTCGCAAATCCAAACACCACGCACTTAAACTCACTATGGTACCAGTCACGAGACACTGAGCCTAAGCCTGCCACAGACAAATAGAAGCCAGGACCAAGCAAGTCTATACTACTTCATTGCCAAGCCCAGATGCATTCCAAACAGAACAACCAACAAATCTGTGATACATCGCTGTGGCTATAGGATGTGCACGGCATGACAAGACAAGACGTAAGGTCCGATGGCTGATAGAGGTAAATCAAAAAGCGGTCAACTATTGAAACACCTACACACGCTCGTACAGTATATGTATGTAACATGTATGTATGTATGTATGTACGTACGTACGTATGTATGTATGTATGTATGTATTTATGTATGCATGTATGTCTGTATGTGTGTATATATATATACATATGTACATGCATCGGCATATACACATACGTATACATATGCACATATATGTAACATACATATATATATATGTGTATATGTACATGTATACATATATATATATGGGTATAGTTCTATTCGCGTCCCCCCAATGGGTTCCCTCGTGACCATCATGATCATGGATGACGATGTTGCTGATGATGAGAGGATGATGATGCTGTTGATGTTGACGATAAGGTGATGATGCTGTTGATGTTGATGACCATCACGAAGCTATTTGGCTGCTTGACCCTTTGATCTTGGCACTGCGGTACATGCCATGGATGCTGTCAATGCTTTTCCAAAGAGCCTTCGGGATGAGCACTTTCAAACCAGTTCCAGCTTTATGGCCAACATCATGTACTCCGAGTTAGACATCGAACAGGAATGCGATTTGCCAGACACCGTGATACTGCGAGCTCTCATGGTGTGCTTGGCTAATGGTATGGTGAAGGTAAGAAGTGGTCGCCCGTGTTGCTGGAGTGAACAAGTGCAGACCAACTGTGGGGAACATGAACGAAACTATAGATATATATATATATATATGGATGTATATGCATGTACATGTACATATACGTATAAACGTACATATACATATGCATATACATATACATATACATATGCATATGCATGTGTTTGAACCCATGTGTATCTGTACATATACATATATCTACACATATGCATGTGCTGTGCAGATACATCCATGCGCATATATAGGTCTATATCACATTTACATTTGCGTACACGCGTACAGTTACATTAATATCTACATATACATCTACATATACGTAAAGTCGGGTTTGCACATGCACATACATCTGTTACACATACAGTGGCCCCTGCATTTGCACTTGCATGTACATGTATGTTCACGCACTTACTTTACGTCCACATTTATGCTTAGATTTATGCTTGTCTATATATATATATTATACATATATATTATACATATATATATATATGCTCACCCCC